GGGGGCCCCGCCCTCTCACGGGACACGCCCACCTCGAGCCCCGCCCCCTCTGGGATGTGTCTCCTCCCCTGTGAGACCCCGATCCGCCTAGACACGCCCCCACCGAGATCCCGCCCCCGAGCGCCGCCCATTTCGCTACCCCCCCGTGTGACCCCTCCCCCTCTGTCCCCCCCCCAATTTTTTTTTACTACTATCTCCAATAAAAGTCGGACCGAGAGGCGGGGCCTGTGTTTGGGGGCGGGACCGAGAGGTGGGGCCTGTGTTTGGGGGCGGGGCCAAGGAGGGGCCCAGGCGTCCGGGGGGGTTTCACACTTTATTGCCGTCCTGGGGAGCCCCAGGCCCCTGTAGCCCCCCCCTCCACCCTATAGCCCCCCATAGCACCTATGGGGCCCCGTGGCCCCCTTTAGGGCCCCATAACCCCCTATAAAACCCCCTACCCTCCCCCCCCCAGGCCCCTATGGAGCCTCCAGGATTCCCTATAGGACCCCCAGCCCCCCCAGCGCCCCACAGACCCTGAAGGGCTCTATACCCCCTCAATGCCTCTATAGGGCACAATAACCCCCTATATAGACCCCTATAGAGCCCCATAGCCTAGACCCTAATACTGACATACAGCCCCCCCCCCCATGGCCCCTATAGGGCCCTATAGGCCCCGGCTGGGCCTCTATGCATTGCCCCCCCCCCCACAGAGCAGCCCCCTATGGAGCCCCATGGGGGGGCGGTGGCCCCTATAGAGCCCCATAGTTCCCCATAGGGCCCCATAGCTACAGGTCAGACCCACACGGAGCCCCCCACCCCAGACTGGGCCCTATAGGTTTGTGCCACTGCCCATAGAGCCCCCATGCAGACCCCTATAGACCCCTATATGTGCCCTATGGGTCCCTATAGGAGCTATGGGAGCCCTAGAACTCCCCAGAGGTTTCTATAGCTCCCCATCGGCACTACCTGAGCTGGGGCTGGATACACCTATAGATTCCTATAGGTGCTCTATGAAACAGGGCCAGATACACCTATAGGCTCCTATAAGTGCTACGTGAGCCAGGGCTGGATACACCCATAGATCCCATCGATCCCTACGGATTCCATAGGTTCTATAGGCGCTACGTGAGCCATGGCTGCATGCACCCATAGATCCCTTCAATCCCTATAGGTGTCTATAGGCTCTATATGATCTAGGTGAGCCAGGGCCGGATGCACCTATAGATTCTATAGGTCCCTCCCTATAGGCTCTATGTCAGCCGGGGGCGGATGCAGGCCTGGTAGACGGCGCGGTCCGAGTGCCAGCGCGTGTGAGCCGGGATGGATGCACCCATCGATCCCATAGGCTCCTATAGTTTCTATAGGTGCCTATAGGTGCCTATGGGTCCCTATGGGTCCCTGTACGCTCTACGTGAGCCAGGGGCGGATGCAGGCCTGGTAGACGGCGCGGTCCGAGTGCCAGCGCGTGTGGGCGACGCCGGGGACGGAGCAGCCGCCGATGGCGCCGCGGGCGTCCAGGGTGCGCAGCCCGAACGTGTCCCGCACGTACACCTGCGGGACAGCCGCGTCACCACGGCGACGTCACCGGGACCGCGTCACCCGCTGTCACCCTGTGTCACCCCGGTGTCCCTGCACCCCCCAAACATGTCCCGCACCTAAACCTGGGGGCACAGCCGCACCATCACCGTGTCACCCAGTGTCACCCAGTGTCACCCGGTGTCACTGTGTCACCCGTCCCCATGTCACCCGGTGTCACCCAGTGTCACCCGGTGTCACTGTGTCACCCGTCCCCATGTCACCCGGTGTCACCCGGTGTCCCTGCCCCCCCAACGTCCCCGGGCAGCACAGCTGGACCCCGACCCCGTCACGGGGGCCCTGGTGTCCGGGCGGGGACCCTGCGCCCCCCAACAGCCCCCCAAGGGGCCCCGGCGTCCGGGCGCTCACCGCCTGCTCCCGCATCTCCCGCACCGTCTCGTTGGCGTCGTAGAAGGCGAAGAGGCTGCGGGGGGGATGGGTGAGACGGGAGGGGGCCCCGGCGTCCGGGTGCCCCCCCC